CACCTTCACGGCTTCCCTCGATGCAAAACTGACGTGGATGTCGACTTTCGTGACTGCAGGAATTCGTATTCTTTGGGTCTTTCGGTAAAGTCACGTAGATAGGTTCAAATAAAATAACAAAAATTAACAAAAAAACTACGATGTTTCGACCACAACACAAGCGATCGTCATCACGATCTTTGAACCCATCTACGTGGCTTTACCGAAAGACCCAAAAAACAGAATGCGCTTGCGCTCCTGGAAAAATCTGCCACGTAACAAGAAGTGGCAGAAGCTAGTCCGATACCCTTTCCGGGTTGTGTACCGCATGGCGTTCGGCAAGCGATGTCCGACGTGTCGCCCGCATTCGCTTGGGAGCTCCTACAGGGAGGCAAACGTTCTCTGGGGCACCCAGAGCGAAACGTAGGACATCGGTGCCTGAACAACATGCGGTGCGGCACGACTGTGTAGGCCTTCGTGGCGGCGATGGCAACAAACGGCGGGTCAAACCGTGGGTCGGCCCGGCCCACCGACCCGGATCAGTGAGCCACGCAAGTGCGTCCGTCCGTCTGTCTGTCCATCCATCCATCCATCCGTCCGTCCGCCCACGCGTACGGTACGTACGTGCGGCAGAGTCCAATTCCCGAGTGCCCTTTCCCTCGAGGCATTAAACGGTTGTCCCAACAAGACCCCGCGTGAGTCTACAGCGCGGGGAGAGTTGTCACGCAGCACGCAGGCGGGGACGAGGGCTACGCGTGTGTCCGTGCAGCCCGTTTTTGGTCGGCCAAGGCACAACACTAATTAAATTGGTCAATATCTACGTACGAAGCCAGACGCATCAGGCAGTGGTGAACTGGCGACTGCTATTCATTTTGAGAAATCGTAAAAAAGAGAGAAAATTTTCAAGGAGGCACACTGCTTTATATTTTCCTTTCACCCACTTATAGACACACAACGTGTTTATGAATGTTTTATATAATGACAGACACCATACACGTTTGTTGAATAGAAAATATGCAGGTATACTGTGGGAAAAAAAGTGCCAATTTGAACACATTCTTAAAGAAACATATAAATGCACACAGTTTAAATAGTGCTTTTGTTCGTCCAATGCTGTAAGATGGCCTCCCCCCTCCCATGGCATCACAGGTCGTGGGGGGCGGGGGTTACTTGACCATACTTCACCACGCAAGCTAGCCCAGGATATGCCTTCTAGCTGACGCGGATTCGTGCACTGGGTTCCTCTTCAGACCGAGTGTCCTCCTCTTGTCACAGGGAAACGCTCAAGTGCAAAGGCATCCCCCCCCCCCCCTCCAGTGCTAATAATAACAGCGCCTCACGCCAAGACGCATCGGTCGCTTCGTACGATCGACCGATGCACGTCGCGGCGCCTTGCGTGTTTTTCCGACACGTGCGATTCACGCGTCCGACAATTTTGCGAGGAAAAAAAGGAAGGAGGGTAAAAAAAATAACGCGCGCAATTTTAGGCCTTTAATGTGCGCTTCATGACACTTTAAACAAATATTTGCCGACATGACGGGGGTGGAGGGGGGTCAGGCGGATGATGGCCTGATGGCACGCTCGCGTGTCCCTGGGCAAACACGGTCCGGACTCGTGCCAACTTTGCTACGCGGTAGGAGGCCCATTCACGAAACTCCATCTTTGGTGGGGGGTGGGGGGTGGGGCGGCGACGTGTACAGGTGACCGAATCCAGACGATGGTCAATACCCACTGGCACATGAGATCCTTTAACAGCCACCGGAGTGCAACGGTCCCTCGATTGTTGTTGAATAAATAAGTCGACGGAAAGCATATTGACAATCGGGGAGGGTGGGGATGGGTGGGGGCGGGAAGAGCCGTGGCCGAATTCCAAACGTTTGCACAGCGCTTTTGATCGATGTGTCCCGCACCACCCCACACAAGCCCCCCCCCCCCCACCGCCGGCCATCCACTCCAGCTAATTCTAATGAATTCTTTAAATGTCTTCAGACACCCGAGAAGCCGCAAAGATGCTTTTCAAAGCCAGAGAGACATTAGTCGAGGTCTCATTAATTAAACATTGGAGGGGGGGGGGCTGTGACGTACTTGGGGGGGGGGGGCAACGCTCCAGAAAAGCTTCCCATCTCGAACCTCTTTGCTTGGGAAATCTCTCATTCCAGTCTCCAATCCTCCTGCAATCCTTTCTCCGGGCTGCCTTCCTTTCTCAAAGCACTTTCATTGTCAGCAACCCTGCAACAACTCCTACGTGCAAATTTCCTGAGCTTTTTAATTGCTTCTTCTTCGGTTTTGTTTTGGCACGAGCTCCACGTGCATCCCCTATGATCGCGCGGTTGTTCCTCTACGAACAACGAGAAGGATGATGATGCAGGAGGGAATCTGACAGCTTAAGAAAATAAATTAAACGGATCTTCAGTTTTCCTTTCTTTTTCCTTCGTATGGCCTGATGTAAATTCGTGGATACACGACTGTTACACACGCCTATTAAGGTCGCGTCGTTGGGGAACAACGCCAGGAATGGTTTAGGATCAGAACGCACGCTGCCAGACTGTCCGTTGGGTCACGTGGCCACTTCTTTTCCTCGTACAGATGATGATGTAGATGGAGAGACAACAACTACAATCTCACATCCAGGTGGTCAAGCCCAGCAACAACCGCGTCAGGGGCAGCGGAGCGTATCGCCGTGATGTCTCCTTCGTATTTGTGGCTCGGCGCCTTGTCTCTATAACGTCGTACGGTCCCGTTCTGGATGACCACGGGCACACACTGCTATTTTGCATTTCTGGTGTTGGGCAATGAAATATACGTGGTGAAAAACCCGTCAGGCCAAGGTGGCTCTCGTCCCGATGCTGCCAGATGAGCCGCTGTCAATGAACGAGGATTGTTAAGGAGGTTCGTGATAAATGAAAGCCAGCAAAGAGATTTGCAACTTGTTTCTTCTTAGCGTTCTTTAGCATCAACAATTGTTTTTACAATTTTTTATTTTACCAGGTAAGGCCCACTGAGCCATTTACCTCTTTTTCAGAAGCGAACTGCCAATCACAAACGATGGCTCAGCGAAGTGACTTATCGTCATGTCGAAATTTATAGTAACCAAATGTTCTAATCGCACGTTGCTTCTATATGTGGAGGGGAAAAAAACGGAGGACCGGGAGAAAAATCCACACGACCGTCGGGAGAACATCTAAACGTCAAATATACAACAGCAGGCGTCAAGGTCAGGATCGAACCCACGACCTCCTGTATTCCAGGTGAAGTAGTAAACATCTCGCCACCACGGCGGCGCCCTTTGGAAAATACACCCCAATGTAAACAGACTTCATTCATCAATGTCCACCATCTATTGTGGCACACACACAAAGGGTAATCAAATAAGCCATTTAAACCAGAAGCTTCATCATCATCATCATCAGCCCTGATCAATCCACTTCTGGCCTCCCCTCTAATTTGCTGCCAGCATTCACGGTGCCTCTGTGCAACAATCCGCACATCGCTTCGTCTACCCGGCGGACGTGCTTCTTCGACGCAGTTCCTCATTCGCCTCCTGCGTCACTCTCGACCGCCGGCCACACCATGGACGCCTCCTACCCAAGCCCCTCTTTCCTGTTTTTTAGCAACAGTTGGAATTACGTCTTTGAAACCTGCGCGTGTCCGCCAACCCAAGTGTTACGCCTTCCTGTGTCTCGGTGCAATCCCGAGCCTTGCATATGCGCGCGCGGCCACGTTTCCCGAAAGGGAGCCTTGCTTTAAGGCACAATTCTTCGCGCTCATGGAACGTACATTTCCTTTCAAGAAATTGGGTTCAGAGGTCGTGAGCCCCATGTGTTTGTTTTAGTAAACGATCCCCAGCTGCCAATCTTGATGCTGCTCATTGCCTTTTCTCGACTAGCTTCTGTAGCCAGGATCCCTCTTTCCCCTGGCTGATTGTGAACGGAATATTATGAAAGCGCCAATACAAACGTAACTCTGCTCCTCCGCGTTTAAATACGAATCCGTTCTGGTCCCCGAGCCTCGTGGCTTTCCAAACCAATGTTACCAAGCAGCGCTTCTTTAAGGGAGCCAATGATGACCGGCTTTACCCGTCTGGCTCTCATCGGCACAGTCAGACTTTTTAATAAAATGCCGTTTTATTACTAGACGGCATTGGCAAGAGTGCTCCACGCAAAATACGGGAACCCCAATCGACGTATTAAAGCTGCACCTTACGCACGCTCATTTGATGCGTTACTGTGGAGCATCATGGGTAAAAGCAATAGTGAGAAGAAATCCGTTGAGCATCTCGTCGTGTCAAGAGAGAAACAAAAACTCCGTGGACTCGGAGTAGAGGAGGCAGACAGAGCTTAGGAGGGAGGACAACAACATTGGAGTACATTGGGGAGCAGGGGGGGCACTTGGCCATTAGGAGGGAGCTTGGGGAAAGTTGTGGCCACTGTGGACAAGGCGGAGGCTGCCTCGGAAGATAGGAGACAATGGGGTTCACTGTGGATCAGGGTCAAATGTGAGGTCACTTGGGTTCACTGTGGCTCAGGGTCAAAGGTGAGGTCACTGGGGTTCACTGTGGCTCAGGGTCAAAGGTGAGGTCGCTGGGGTTCACTGTAGGTCAGGGTCAAGGGTGAGGTCACTGGGGTTCACCGTGGCTCAGGGTCAAGGGCGAGGTCGCTGGGGTTCACCGTGGGTCAGGGTCAAGGGTGAGATCGCTGGGGTTCACCGTGGCTCAGGGTCAAGGGTGAGATCGCTGGGGTTCACCGTGGGTCAGGGTCAAGGGTGAGGTAGCTGGGGTTCACCGTGGGTCAGGGTTAAAGGTGAGGTCACTGGGGTTCACTGTGGCTCAGGGTCAAAGGTGAGGTCACTGGGGTTCACTGTGGCTCAGGGTCAAGGGTGAGGTCGCTGGGGTTCACTGTAGGTCAGGGTCAAGGGTGAGATCGCTGGGGTTCACCGTGGGTCAGGGTAAAAGTTGAGGTCTATGGGGTTCACTATGGCTTAGGGGTGAAGTAGCTGGGGTTCACTGTGGGTCAGGGCCTCACCTGTCTCGTGTGCGAGAGGTGGAAACAGAGGTTGCGTGGCAGCGTGGCCTCGGCGCGCGGCGCCGCTCCGGGGAGAGGCCCCGGCCAGGGCTGGTCCTGCACGATGTACGTGCACGTATCCTGCAGCTCCCGCTCGGAGCGCCCGGCGGCGACGCCGTCCTCCTCCTCCTCCTCTCCCTCCAGGGGCTCGTCCGGCGCTGCCAGACGGGGCGGCTCCCGCTCACCCATCACCATGCGTCCTCACCGCTGCAGCAGCCACAGAGACGCGGAGACGGAGAGAGAGACAGAGAGAGAGACAGAGAGAGAGCGCTCGTTAGCAACCCGAGCGTCAAGCGGGGAGTACGTGCGAGTGGCGTGGCTGTTGAGTGTGCAGGCGGTGCAACTGCACTCGCGATCGTGGATGGATGGGGGGGGGTATAGATGCTGGACTATGAAGACGGGGGACATTGGACAGGGAGCCACGTTTTCATTCCTGGCCCATGCCAACCACGCCGAGTCACTACATCACGTGCTGACACTCACCCATCACTCACTCCCTCCTGTTTCACCCGATTCCCTATCATTTCATCACTATCATCATCACATTTACAATCACTATCATCCAACATTCGTATCACCTTCATCTCCACTGTCGGCTATCATAACAAATACAATAATCATCGTCGTCATTGTCATCATCCTGGTCCAGAAGGATTCCCTCCAGGTGAACACTGCATAGGGACCCCCCTGCTTAGATGCACCCAGCAGCAGTGTTGGCAGGGTTACACAGTAGGGGTACATCGGAGTGCGCTGTAAACCACAAGGCCATTCCATCCATGCCTAGGCCAGTAACAGCCACGATCCATCATGCTACAACAAAATCAAGATATTGACGGAGATTCCACTGCATTGTGAACGCGGGTTTGGGCCACTATGTTTATCGTACAGGGTGCCTAAATGTACCACAACGGTGATTAGTTGTGATATCATGAAACAAACAGAGCTTAAAAAAACCCTAACATTACCGTATCACCTGGATTATAAGATGCCGATGCGCCCCAAACTTTTTCAAATAGATTACACAGCACAGACGTTTGGTAAAAAAATATCTTCGCTTGCATTGCAGGCTACCTTCCAATTACACACAACCAGTTTCTAATCTTGAAATACTGTTAATTATATTTTTGTAAACGTGTATTTTCTGGGATCCCTGCATTCAAAAAAATGTATATCTTTGCGCAGTGCTCATCTTTTTTTCTTTGACACAGCCCTGTGCCACGGCCCAGTGACGTACACTCCACATTCCTCTGGACGGGGGCCAGTCATTTTAAAGGCAAGCCGACCACTGGCGGCTTACCACAACGTGGCCCTCTCACTTGTCAACCCGCCCCCTGCTCCATTCTTTGAATTGGAACTCACGGAGTTCACACTCCCGTGATTTCACAATATCCGTGAAACCACGTGGCCCAGGATGTCTCGTAAATGTACGTTAGGTTTCGTAAATTGAAATGAATGAGGCTTTCAATGATAATAATGATACTGAACTCATGGCCCTTTGGTCAACCCACGACTGGATGAAGACCTCTTCCTGATGCAAAGCCGATCGTGGGGGTTGTTTGATCATACTTCACCATGCTGGTCAGTGTGGGCGCGGTGAAGGGGGTTGCACAGGGCCGTTTCAGCCATCGCTCGACACAGATGTTAGCCGTGACTGGGACTCAAACTCAGGTCACCGGGTTCACAGTGCACAGCGCACCCAACACCCGGTACTTGTACAATAAATTACACAAATGGCACTACAATATTACATCCAAGTTAAACTGCTAATATTTTAGATTTAGTCAAAGTTTGGTAGAAATTTAACAAAAAATAATAGCTTGTACGTTTTGTTCATTTCCTATCTACTAATATTGCACAATTTGACTCATTTGAGGCCTAGCCAACCCAGTAGAAGTCCAAACCAACCTCAAAAGCTATAAATAAAACAAATATATACACACACCTTTGTATTAACAGAACATCTGAAACTTGTAACCAATTTAAATACGAGCAGAAATGTATAATTGCGCACAATTGTGTTTCGTAGAGTTGCTTTGAAATTATGGACGATGGCCAGCGGGTCAAGACGAACGATGGAGCAGCAGCCAAGAGTGAGAATGCACGAGAGGGGACGCCCACCGTGGAGACGGAGCGACGAACCGAGCTCGTGCGGAGTTTTTGTTTTTTACATCGCAGCAGCGACAGAGATGACGACAGCTTAGGGAGAACTTCATCCAGAAGTGGATAGAACATGGCTGCTGCTGCTGCTACTGACGACATTGATATACGCTCGCAATCCTAACGTCAAATGTGGCTTAAGAGAAAGAACTTTGGACCCATTGTCTTACGGAGAATTGTCTTGTCGTGGCATTTATTCCGAATAACGAGGAAATTGCTGGAACAGGTTTTGACTTCTCCCGAGTGGCGTCAGTGAGATGCGTGGCCTGACAAAATCAATACCACTGGGCGACCGAACGGTCAGGGCATTATTAGCAGCCACCCGTAAACACAAAAAACGTCATTTCAACGAATGTCATCCGAGGAGGCTGAAGTGAACGCGAGTTATCACAAAGTGGGACGCGCGGACACGCTTGCTGCGGCTGCTGCATTGAGTGTGTGGCCACCGCGGTGCCTCCAGTGAGAGTGGAGCGACAGGTGCGTCGCCCGCCATGGGAAATAAAGTCTCGAGGATTATCGTCGAGGTGCCACTCACGCACGCACTCATGCACGCGCGCACGCACGCGCACAAACAAAGACAAAGATTCCCCCGTGTAGCCTTGAGCAGGCTGTTGGGGCCAGTGCCGTTAGCGAGCACCTATGAAGGCCGACACGGTACACGAGGGGGAGGGTAGCCGGCAACACGCCCGACCGCCTTTGTCTCCCCAGTGGCGATGCCCAGGACCGGTACAGATAATCGTCACTGGTATTGGTGCCGTGGGGAGGAATCAAATCCAGGGTCGCCGGGTTCATAGCGCAGCACGCTAACCGCTACACTACGGCTCCCACATGCAAACACACGCACACGCACGGAGCGTGATGAACGGCAGGCGCGAGGCGCACAGCCACGATGCAGAAAACCGTCTCTCTCTCTCTCTCTCCGTCCCGCGAGGCCCAGCGCCCTCCAATTCCTTCCGCCTCCAAGTCGTACGCTGACATAATACGCGTGCAGACGGTCACACAACACCGCGTTCGTGTTGCCAAGAGAGCAACACCGGCAGCGGTTCCAGAGCTGTGGTCTCTCCGCAAGACCGTGAGACAAGGTGGTCCGTGGAACCGTTGCAGAGTGCATTTATTTATTCATTCACGAAACACCAGAGTTCCTACTGCAAGAGTTGTTTCTTTTGTTAGGGCCGAGGGCGGTCCCGCGGATCCATGCAGGATGGTACACGACACGCTGAACACATTGTCCACCGCCCTTGCAAGAGAGGCCAGGTGTGCTTCTATCCAGGTGTGCTTGTAAAAGAAGGTGCTCATTTCCCTCACCATGAGCAGCAGAATACAAGCGTGTGCTGCTCACATAAGAAATTCGCTTATGTCAGGTGTGCTTAAGTCCAGCTTCTGCTGCATTTGGTTGGCGGTCACACATGGGTGTCATACAAGCAGAAAAAAAAACTTGCCATAGGAACGTGGAATTTCCACCACCGGCACAGAGGGCCACTCACAAAAAGTGGGGACGGATCCCACGCTCGTTGGAGAGCGGCGGCACGGTGTCATTTATACACACTCCTTCGCTTTCGCTCAAATCGCGCCATCGCCAATGGTGGAATGAGTCGAGGAATGTTTCATTTGGAACTCTGGCGGCAAGCAAGCCGTGCGCCCGCGCCGTGCGGTAGAACAACGCCGGAAGGTGACGTCGCAGATCCACTTCTGAAGTCACTTCAATAGACGTCTTCATGGCAACTATGGACATGCATTTGAATTCCCTGCGAAAGGAAATTCATGGCAATCTCCATAAAGCTGATTCTTTTTTTTATCACAACTGGAAATGAGCCAATTTAAGTAAAAAATATAGATTTTTATGTTATCGGATATTTTTTGTGCAGTCATCGGTGACCGGGCCGAGTTGTTGGAACGTTCTGTTCCGTCGTGCCCAGACTGAACGTCTGTGAAAGAGAGCTTCACAGCTCATCGGATTTCTCTCCAGTATAAATACATATTCTAATTATCACCAACTCGCCGCACTTCAGAACACAGTCCGATCACAGGAGGCAGAAACCCGGATTTGAACCCAGGCAGGTACTGTCGGCTCGATGCCCTGACCCCTCTCAGCCACCCAGCCACCCGTGACACTTTGACATTCACGACCGGCGCCGTGGCTCTATTCACCAACTGGCTCTGCTCCGTGTATTTTTGCGTGAGGTGTAACTCCACCGCACCCTTGCCCACGCGCCCACGTCGCTTCAGGGCCCGGCGTCCAGCGCGATGACATCACCGCGCGTCGACGCCACGGGCGTTCTTCAGCAGACGACGGGGGCATGCGGAACGCGTTTAAATATACAAGTTGGGTTTAGAGATATGTTTGGGTTAAAGTTTGGGAGCCAAATGTTGTTCGTTCGGGAAAATTTAAAATTTTGCAGGAGTAAACTAAAACTGTAAAACGATGTTTATGATACCAGGTAAGGCCCACTGAGCTATATAGCTCTTCTGCAGAAGCGACCTGGCCACAATGACAGCTCAACTTAGTGGCTTATCACGTGGAAATGTATAGCGGCCAAATAGTCTAAACGTATGTAGATTATAAATGTGGGGGGGGGGGGGAACCGGAGAAAATTCCACGTGACCACAGGGAGAACACGCAAACTCCAAATGTACAGGCGTCAAGGTCGGGATATCTGCGCCAAGATAAATATTTTTGTTCAGATCTTTTGCATTCGCACGACCAACCGTGTGTGAGATACAGAACCTGACAGACGCACAATTGCGCATCACATACATCGATCCACTCCCATTCAGTGACACACTTTGTTTAACCAGGCGACAGACAATTTCGGGCCGTCGTGGTGGTGAGATGTTAACTCCCTCGCCTGGTATGCAGGATATAGTGGGTTCGATCCCGACCCTAACACCTGTATATTTGGAGTTTGCATGTTCTCCCTTTCGTGGTGTGGATTTTTTTTCCGGGTCCTCCGATTTTCCACCTCCGCATTTAAAAACATGCGTTTAGAGTATTTGGCCGCTATAAATGTCCACGTGATGATGATGAGCCACTTCGTTGAGCCTTCATTTGT